GCTCTCTCGTCTCTCTTCTCTCTCTCCTCTCTGCTCTCCTCTCTCTCTCTCTTCCTCTCTCTCTCTCTCCTCTTCTCTCTCGTCTCGTCGGCTCTCCTTTCTCTCTGCTCCCCTCTATTTTCTCTCGCACATGCGGCCGCGCGCGCTCTTCTCTCTCTCGCTCTCGCCTCTCTCTCTCTACTCTCTCTCTCTCTCTCTCTCTGCTCTCTCGCTCTCGTCTCTCTCGCTCTCTCGTCTCTCTCTCTCCTCTCTCTCTCTTCTCGCCTCTTTCTCTCTCTCTCTCGTCTCTCTCTCTTCTCTCTTCATCCATCCCCCGCCCTCTTTCTCTCTTTCACACTCACGTGGCTCTGCCACCTAACAAAAACAACAAAGGTAACAGAACAGGACAGTAGAGCGCCACATTAGCCACGGGAGCAAAAACATGCAGACAGGACGCAGCGGAAAGATAATGTGCGGTAACTCTAGATAAGCGAGAGAAGAAAACCGCGACTAGCGAACGAATGATTAATCTAACACAAAAAAGAAAAATACGAACGATTATTTTCCAGCCGTTGCACGCTGCTCCGGCTTCACCTCATGAGTCAAGCAGTGAACGCGGACGAAGATCTTAACATAGCGGCAGAATATTTTCACCAGATGTTGATTACCATGTAGGGTCGAGCTGAAAATATACGATATGGAGCACCCTCTTCTATATCTCGTCCTAGTGTTCCTCCTCCTTCCTCGTCTTCCTCCGTCTCTTTCTCTCTCTCCTCTCTCTCTATTTTTATATTATTAGATATATGATGGTATAATATATTCGATTCCTCTTTATCTCGCGTTCTTTCTGTCAGCTTCCGTCCCATCTGTACTCGCCTCTCTCTCTCTCTCTTCTCTCTCTCTCTCTTCTGCTCTCTCTCTTCTCTCTCTTCTCTCTCTCGTCTCTCTCTCTCTCTCTCTTCCTCTCTCTCTCTCTCATATATCTCTTCTCTCTCCTCTATCTCTGATCTCTCGCTCTCTCCTCTCCTCTCTCTCTTCTCGTCTCTCTCCTCCTATCTATCGTATCAAGAGGTGCGACGGAATTCTACGAGCAAGAGTATGACTCGGTTTTTTAACAAGTGGCGTTTTGCGATAGTTTTAAACTGTAAAGATGAGTCGTTCAATCTGTGAATGAATCATATTCAAACACTTACCTTGTTTTCGGTCCTTATGATCTCCTTTAATCATTATTGACACCGACCAATTTCCTGGAAAATCGTATGTGTTCTTCTAAAAAAAGGTTATTTGAATACGGACACAGGTTTCGTACACGGTCTTTCCACGCCTCCTATAAGTCTCTCTCCGCATCCGCAACTTTCTTATGGGACTAGTCCGTTACTGTTGGTCTATGACGGGTTGACGCTGGCTAAGGGAATCAGCTGCTAGGCTAGCTGGCCGGTGAGGCCGCATTTATTTTTTAGCACCGCTGGAAACGCTGCACGCTGAAGACAGATTTCGATGCCCAATTCCCATCGTACGGACCCCAAAAGTTCCAGTACATAGACAATAGAAACACTAATCCCATATAGAAAGGTCTCTCAGGCGTCGTGAAAGAGAGCAGCCAGCGGTAACACGTACGAAACCGGTCGTATCAAATGAAACTTTTTGATAGGAACACATACGATTATTCGAGAGTAAATGGGGTGGCTGAGGGCGGTGTCACTATGATTTAAGGCGAGCTATATCATAGACGAAAAAAACAAGTAAAGTTTTGAATATATTATTTAACATATATAAGGATTATTTACCAGTGTGAAAACTATGCAACAACGCCGCTAGAAACGAGTCATACTTCTTCTCTATTATCCACTCGTTGCTATCTCTTATCTAGCTCTCAGCTTTCTTTTTCTTCTCTCTCTGCTCTTTCATACTTTTTTTTTCACCACCTCTATCTCTTTGTCTCGTTTTCTATCGGTGCTGCGTGCGCGTGCGTGCTGTGTTTTTTGATAAAATCGATAATGGAAAAATCGTCCCATGACTATTTACAAACAAAAACACAAACCACAACCGTCAAATGTCCTAGGCATGTGTACGGCTAGCATTTCACGTGTATTTGACTTCGCGTGGCCCCTGCACATTTCCTCGCCAGCCCCCGCCCGCTCGTCCAGCCCGGATTTGGCTTATTCCCACCCTGCACCTACCCCCACAACTCACTCCGAACCTCTCCGACTCCACGCGCGGTCCCGACCTCAGCCCGACCACGTCCAGCCACGAGCGCCCCCAATCCCCACCTCCAGCCCATCATCGCGCTTACAAACACCCCTCCCACCGCGCCCGTCGCGGTCCCAGGGGCGTCGATCCACTCAAGGCGGCCAATTACACTTATCCACCGCAACCCACCTCCACTCGCCTCCACCCTCGAGCTTACCTATCACCCGAGCTTCGCAGCCGGCGCGGCCACCCCCCGTTGCGCCCCCCGACTCCAGTCCATCGCAGCACTCAGCGCCCCTTGCAAACCATCCACTCGCAACGAACATAGGGGCTGGTGCCGCAATCCCCGGCCATCACATTATCCATCCATCCCACCCGAGCCGCACGCCCTATCCCCATCACGCTCTCTCTCTAACCGTCCTTGGT